TTTATTGGTCACTTTCAGGTTGTGCTCTTGGTTCGGAGTCTAAATTTGCGATAAAACTCAGTTTGAGAACTTTGAAACATGACTAAGATTCGAAACTTAGACGTTTCATTCAATCAGAATCAAGAAATAGAAATTCACTTGGAGAATATTCGTGAAACACTCGCTCGCTTTTCAAACTATATAACTTTGTATTATTTATACTTGAAAATGCCATTTGAGTCGAAAGTATAAGGAAAATGTATTCCTAGTAGTCATGATTGTAATTCTCAAGGGTACAAGTTTGGCCAAATCCTCACTGATATATCTCGATAAAAGAAGATGCAAATATCCTAGATAGTTCAAGTAGTAATCGCTCTTAACCCTTACTCAAGTCGCAAGTATATTTCTCTAGTCCTCGAGCGGAAATTTGGGCAGCATGCCCTTTGTATTTTCCTATTTCCAGCCATTTATGCCTTCATTCTTTTCCTCAATCAACCCCAAAGTTACACATGACACAAATTCATTTCAATAGCCGTTCAATAGGCTCAAGACAATACAAGTACAAAATTCAAGTTAATAACAAGTGCGGAAATGAGCTTTAGTAAAAAACAGATTTGATAGGGTTTTGCGGAAAGGAAACATCTGAGGCTACGCTTATCAGATTGGTGTGAAACTTATACCGTTTCGAAGCTAAGATGAAGGTCTACAACTTTCATGAAGATCACTTAGTCAAATTTCCAGTGTAACCCAGTCAAATTCCCAGTTCACCGAACCAGGTTCCAACAAATCGACTAATTAACCGTACTACATTTAAATGGTCATATATCAGGCTACCAAAGTCCGTTTAATGCGTTCTTTGAAGCGTTTAAAAACTAAGACAGAGTAATAAAACTTTCATGTTTTGGAAAATAGCTAAATCTGCATGGATCAAAGTGAACAGATGCAGTCAACTAGATGAACTGTCTAAAATGGGTCACTGGAAATATCCTAGGGCAGTGAGGGTATTTTGGTCTTTCCACAGGTTACATTGCTCGGATTGAGGTGAAATTTTGTAGGCAGCTATAAAATATCATTTTCTATAACTTTCATGTTTTATACTAAGCCTAATTAGGCCTCTAACAGGATGCAATAAAACCGGACAGAACAAGGCTGAAATTTTCCAGAAATCTGGAAATTTTGGGATTCAATGAAACTTTCTTCATTTCTTGCCTCAATCCACCACCACAACCTCCTATATAAGCTTAGATACAACATATATCCTCCATATAGCAAGTATAGGCAGAAATCATCAAACCCTAACTTACATATATCACCTTAAAATTCATCACAACTTGTATCACAACTAATCTAACCAAAACATGAATTATATAACATCTTAATCAAAAATAAAAGAACCAAAGCTATGGGTTAGACCTTATACCTCAAAAAAATAAGCTTGCAAGAGTAATAATTCACCTCCTCTTGAAATTTTTGGTTCCCCTAGCTTCCCAAAGTCACAACTCACAAATTAATCGGTTTAGAATTTTGTTTCCTCACTTGGATGGCTCAAACTCAAGATGAAATGGTGAAACTCTTGCTCTCTCTTTCCCTCTCTCTTGTCTTGGCCAACCAGCAGAAAAATGGAGTGAAAATGAAGGCAGCAAGATGATAAGAAGGTTGGACTTGGCTTGGTCAAGGAGCCATAAGGGTGTGACACTTGTTACCACCAAAGCCAACAAAAATTTCTTTTTCTTTCATTGCATTTTTAGCCCTAAATTTCGGTCAAAGCCAGCTGGAAATAAGGAGATATTTTGCTCAAATATTAATGAGCTTGTATGGTAAGAAAGTGGAGGCAAGTGGTGCGTTCAATCGGTAGTGTACGGTACTCGTCGGTTCGCAACGTTTTTCCTTAAATCACACGTACTAGGGTTTTTACTTCCTATTTGTCGCGCCCCATTTTTTGATAAATAAATAAAATGGTTTAAAAAAATGTATTTTGATTTAATTTATGATTGGAAAATGAATTGTGATTTAAAAGAAAAATGGGTCTAAATGGGGGTTTGAAAATGCGACGATTTGACCCAAAATTATAGTTTAAAAAGGGTTTTTGAAAAAATGGGAGTCGCCACTTGGTAATGAGTTAAGGTGTACTAAGTCACCTAAAAATGGATTTTTTAGGAAAAATGTTGTAAGAAACCCCTTTTAAACGACTCCTAGTCCACGTGAACCAAAAAAAAGGTTCAGGAGTCCATTTGACGAAGGGGAAGGCAAGGATAAAAATCCAAGGCACCCCTTCGACCTAGCCAAGGCTAGTTGCGCGATTTAATCAAAGTTTTTCTTATTTTAACCAAAGAATTTATTACATTTGGATGCGCTACATGAATGCAAAAAGAAGGAAAAAATGCAAACCTAAATTCTAAAATGTCTCTTGTAAGGTTTTTGGTCCCAACCACATGAATTGTGGCGGCCAATAAAGGAAAACCTTATAGAGGTCGATTAATGCGAATGATGGCTAAAGTGCAAGTGTGCAAGTGTATAAAAAAGGTGCACATGTGAAATTGTATGAAAAATCCAAGTGTTTGTGTGCAAATGAATGAAGATAGGATTATAAATATATATGTGAAATTTGAGTTCTACTTGTGGAGTAAGATGAGTAAAACATAGTGAAAAATATGGATTGAGAAATGCGGGAAAAAGGGTGATTAAAAGAGCATGGAAGTGGGAAAAAAGAAAATATGTCCCTAAGGGAATGCAACAAATTGGGTATGGGGATGACGCCTAATTCTTCGACTTTGGTTTTCCCTCGGATTAGAAGGCGAAACTAGCGTGCTAAGGCTATCAAGTAGCCACACTCGCTCGAGGGAGTAGTATCGGAAGGGGATTTTCACGCAAATGAACCCTAACTAGCATGAGATGCAAGTCCTAAAGTGAAGGGGAAGGGGTTTGAGGAACATACCAAATGATAAACTGAGGAAAAATGCGTGATATGTGGTGATCATGCACTTCATGAAAAAGGGAAAAAAAAACCTATTGGGTCTAGCATTGGACTAGCCCCTCCTATGAATTCCGACTAGCGTTGGACTAGTGGAAACGATAAAAGAAGCCACAACTAGCGTTGGACTAGTGTGGTGACGTACATTCATCCATTCCATTCATCCACACTATAAAAAGCGAGTAGACATGCGAATCACTTATAAACACGTAGCACATAACACTTAGCATGCTTGACTAGATGCAAGGGCCTAATAAAGCGATTAAACACTTAACACGTAGGCATGCAACCAAACTAATGAACCTATTACATTCACTAACTAAAACAAAAGGGGAAGGGGAAAATGGACCAAATTGCTCGCCAAAGCCCTATCTATTACAAGCCAAGAGGTGTACACATACCCCATTAAAAGAAAAACGTAATGAAAATGAAAGTAAACGACATAAATGAAAGGAATTAAGGAAAGGCTAGGAAAGCAAAGTAGACATGCAATTCTCTCTTAGCACGTTGGATCACATAGGAGAGACAAAAAAGGGATAAAAGAAGTTATACCTCCCTTGAGTTGACGCCTTAAATGGAGTAAAAAGGGCTTCAAAACAATAAAAAGGTCAAAGGACCACTTTATTTAAGAAAAATTAAAAGACATGTGCAAAACAAAGCTCACTTGATCATGAAGCCCCCAAAAGTCACGACTTAAGGGCAATTGATAAAGCATGGTAGTTAATTGAAGCAAAGCAAGCAATGAAATTGCAAAAACTAAAGCTGCCAAGGACCAAATTGAGGACATTATTCAATTGGTTGGGTCATAGTAGAATAAAGGGAGACTTGGGGGGTCAAAGTGCAATTTTAGAAAATTGTCTCATGCAATCCTCATGCAAAAGACGTGAGAAACACATTCTACAATAACAATTGCAGGCCTTCAGAGAATTTCTTTCCTTCTGCATTATACAACATTTCATTTCCAACTGAAACATCAACAAAACATTAACCTTTGAATTAACCAAGCTTAGAGTCCCACCTTTCCTTCAATCATAGTCAAAGACCACATTCTTATTGCAGGATTAAAACAGCAAAAATGGATGCTAGGAACAATTCAACAAAATAGAATGCAACAAAAGACTTCCCAACAGCAAAACAAAAGCGCAGCAAAGAATCTCTCGTTTCTTTATGATTTCTACAATACGCATGTTCTGACCCTTTGACATGCTTAACAAAACATCAACCAACCCACCTATTGTTTGTAAACAAAAAATCTGGAGCAAGATAAGTAAGTAATCAACGAGGGGATGAGGAAAACATTTCTGCAATGGAAGACAACCATGCTTGCTGCAATTTTCCATTCTAACTGAAATGCATTGATATGGAACAACTTCAAACCAAACCAAACTTAAGTGCTATGACTCCAGAACCATGTTGTTAACATCAACCAAATGTCATTGTCTACCCTCAGGAATCAAACGAAAAACTGGGTATGAAATCAGCAAAAGAAAATAAAATTGGAGCATTGAAGGTTTCAAACATCTACAAAACCAAGTCTACCTCTATTACCACAACAAAAGGCTTTGCCATGTTGTAGCCTACTGTGGCACCATACCTTGCTGATTTCAATTGCAGCAAGCGTATACACAGCATTAATAACACAGCAAACAGGCCCACAGGAGCAAACAATCCACACCAGAAATTCAGTTACCAAAGAAAATTCAGTTTTTGTCTAATCGTTGTAACAAACCAGACGCTTCGAGCTTGTTGCTTGCACAAATCCCAGCCAAACAACGCTTGAAATCAAACAACCTGCTTACCCAATACCCTTCTCACTCTTCAACATAAAGCCTTTGAATTTAAGCACCAAGAAAAATCAGAATAAAAACAAGCAAAGCTAGAAATTTCCTGCGGCTTCACCATCCAACCAAACAGATTCATCATATATAACATACATACTCCAAATTCATAAATAGCCCAAGATAAGTTGCTAAAACCCAGGTATAGAAGAACAAATTTCAGGAGCTTGAAGAAACTGAAATATGAAAAAACGACTTACCGTGTTCCTTTTCTACGTGAAAGCCCTGCGATGATGAAGCTGTATATTTGGTGAAGTGGTGGCAGCTCCTCCGAGTGCGACAGTTTGATGGCGGGTTTGGTGCGGTGGAGGCTCCTTTCGTTTGGCCTCCTTCATCCAGCGAGCACGAGACTTTGAGTAAATCTTGGAAGGTTTCCTGATGATGAACCCGTCCTTGACCAGCTTTCTTGTGTTTTGACGAAAATCAGTCATGGAGATTTTGTTTACTCCATTGGCTAGCCAGACCTTGCCTCTGCCGCACTGGAGGATGCCGGCGGCGAGTCTCTTCTGAAATTTCAGCGACACCATCCCTTCGTCCATCGGTCCATTTCCTCTTCCTCTGGTTTTTCCTTAAACCCAGATTTCATGCTCCTCCAGTGAAGGCTTGCTGCAATTTCTGGGTTGGCACATCAGTCGCGTGGCTGGCAAAGCTTTCGACAATAATGGTGCTGATGAGTGCTTGTCCGTGGTTTTCCTTCCTAGCCTGTAGACTCTATCTCTCTCTCTCCATTGTTCCGCAGTTTCCTTTAGCCGTTCACTGCCTTTTCTCTTTTAGCCCGTATGCTCTCCCCCGGAAAACTCAGTTCTTTCTCTCGGTTTTGTTTTCACAGCCGTCCACTGCCATCCTCCTGTTTTCCTTTCTTTTCGATCCTCTCCCCCCGATCCTCTCTTGCGGCTCTCCTTTCTTTTTCTATTTATATACCTGCCATCCAACCCTAAAACCCAGTCCTCTCTGTTATATTTGCAACCCAAGTGCTCGTCCGAGTCTTCCCTTTGCAAAGTTGCGGCAGCTTGCATGCCGCGGCTCAATTTCCCTTTTTTTTTTTTTTAAACAACTTAACAAAATATAGATAACTAATTAATAATAATAATAAAAAAACTAATGAAGAAAAAATTAAATACAATGAGCGGAAAATAGGTATAAAAGGATAAAAATGAAATGCTAATTTTCTTTTCTTTTTCTTTTCTCTTTTTTCTTTTTTTCATTTTCAATTTTTCAATTTTTTCCATTTTTTCCAAGAAAACATTGAATTTAAATCAAAACAATTAAAACATATTTTTTGAATGCTTTTTCTTTTCTTTTCGAGAAATTCTATGCTAAAAACTTAAAAATAATAATAATAACACGAAAAACTAAAAAACTAAAAACTAAAAAGGTGAATAAAACTAACAAACTGAAAACACTAAAATTTTGGTGTCTACAGTTTGCCCCTCTTTGTCTGAGTTTTGAAAAAACTTGAGACAAAAAAGTAGACACCAAATACTTACCTGCATTATTTGGCTGCGAATGATTCCAACGATTGCTGCCCTTGAAACGAGGACTGACCTCTTTATCAAAATGTTGAGAAATGGGATTGACCTAAACAGAAATTTAAACGGGACTGACCCGAAAAGGAATTTAGACGGGACTGACCCGAACAGAATTTAAACCCGAACAGAAATTTAAACGGGACTGACCCGAACAGAAATTTAAAACGGGACTGACCCGAACAGAATTTAAACGGGACTGACCCGAACAGAAATTTAAAACGGGACTGACCCGAACAGAATTTAAACGGGACTGACCCGAACAGAATTTAAACGGGACTGACCCGAACAGAAATTTAAACGGGACTGACCCGAACAGAATAAAAATCAGATGAATTGAAGTGAGATGGATTGTTGGTGGGATTGACCCATGTTTATTGGTGATGCAAATGAAAGAAGTGAAATGAAGTGTTAATGGGACTGACCCATGTGTGTTAGTGATGCAAATGAAAGAAGTGAAATGAAATGTTAATGGGACTGACCCATGTTTGTTAGTGATGCAAATGAAATGCTCCCTAGTGGGACCGACCCACGGCTAGTGACGATGAAATGCTCACTGGCGGGACTAACCTCACGCTCCAGTGGCTGTGAAAATGAAATGTCTTGACAATCGGACAGTGGGATCAAACCCGAGCCTGCCGTGATGAACTTGATTAGATTTTTTATTTTTTTATTTTTTTATTTTTTATTTTTTGATTTTTGATTTTTTTTTTTGATTTTTTGATTTTTGATTTTTTTTTTTTGAGAAACTTTCCAAAGATAATTTGCCCCAGTATAATGAAATGGTCAGTGGGAATCGGTCAGTGGTATAAAAGCATGGTCAGCGGGATAAAACCCGGTTCTGACGAGGTTGGCGGGATGAAACCCGGTCCCAAAAGCTCATTGGTCAGCGGGATAAAACCCGGACCTGCCATTCACTTGGTCAGCGGGATTAGACCCGGCCGGTCCTGCCATTCACTGGTCAGCGGGATTAGACCCGGTCCTGCCATTCATTTGGTCAGCGGGATTAGACCCGGTCCTGCCATTCACTTGGTCAGCGGGATTAGACCCGGTCCTGCCATTCATTGGTCAGTGGGATAAAATCCAGCTCCAACGGGATGTAATCGGTCAGCGGGATAGAACCCAGTTCTGCCGAGGTTGGCGGGATAAAACCCAGCTCCAACGTGATATAATCGGTCAGCGGGATAGAAGCCAGTTCTGCCGAGGTTGGCGGGATAGAACCCAGCTCCAACGGGATGTAATCGGTCAGCGGGACAGAACCCAGTTCTGCCGAGGTTGGCGGGATAAAACCCAGCTCCAACGGGATGTAATCGGTCAGCGGGATAGAACCCAGTTCTGCCGATGTTGGCGGGATAGAACCCAGCTCCAACGGGATGTAATCGGTCAGCGGGATAGAACCCAGTTCTGCCGATGTTGGCGGGATAGAACCCAGCTCCAACGTGATATAATCGGTCAGCGGGATAGAACCCAGTTCTGCCGAGGTTGGCGGGATAAAACCCAACTCCAACGTGATATAATCGGTCAGCGGGATAGAACCCAGTTCTGCCGAGGTTGGCGGGATAAAACCCAACTCCAACGTGATATTGTGAAGTTGGCGACACGAAGTCCAGGCCCAACGGGATCTTGTGAAGTTGGCGGCTCGAAATCCAGGCCCAACGGGATGTTGTGAACAAGAAATTCAATTTGATTTGTCAAGATGCAAGAAGTTAAACTTGAGTTTTTTGATTTTTGACCTTTTTGATGATGACTTTTTGATTTTTTGATTTTTTTTTCTGATTTTTTCCCTTTTGATTTTTTCCTTCCTTTCGGATTTTTCAAGAGAATTTGCCCCAGTGTCGGGTCCATTTTTCCCTCCGTCTTCTTGCTTTTCTTTGCAGTATCGGCCTTCCGCCTCACTGGATGCTTTTCGTCATTTTGAACCATGAATACCTGCACAGGGGGGCTTAACAAAGCATGACATGCACTCAAATTTCCATGAAAAAAGCAGTGTGATTGATTTGAAAAATGCATTATTTGATTCTTTGAACGAAATCCTCAATTGAACTACAAAAATATTTGCCCCTGTGTGGGCTTATTCTCACGAATTTTCATAACAAAAAATTTGCCCCAGTATGGGCCATTTAATTGCAAAAACTTGTTTGGATGACTCTCCAATTATTTGAACAAAGTAAGCAATTGCTTTTCCTAACATATCATGTGAGGAAAATTGAATGTCTTGCTTAAACTCATATAGCACATTTCATGATGAATTTCTCAAAATAATGCCAAATTACGAAAGATTTCTTCCCCACTTTAGCATCAATGCTTTGGGTGATGGGTCACTATTTCCAGTTGGCTCACCTTCCGGACCAATCAAGTGACTTTATTTCTGATTTTGAGGTGGCTAAGGAAAATGAGAGGTCAAGATTTGTCTGGTTCTTGTGCCCAAATTGTATGTAGTCCATTCAATATCGCATCTTAGTGAAAACAAAGAGTTTGTCACCCTTATTTCTTAAGAAAACATAGTCAACGTATAAGCTTTATAGGTTTGCAACAACATGGGTAGAAGCGATAGCTAAACCTGTGAAAACTGGTTATACTCCCATGATCACAAATGATTGATGGATTTCTTACGAGCCTAATCCTCACTTTGGATTGTCATGAAGGAATAAGTCAACGATGGACTTTATTAGCTTGTAATTTGGCTTGAAAACGATAGTTAAAGAATAAAACTTTCAAGGACATTGCACCGAAGATCGCATTTTTCAAAATTGCCCCTATTTTGGACTCAAAGATCTCAGACTTTGTTTGCATTTTTCTCATCACTCACCAGGGATTTCAGCGTCGAATTTTTCTGCATTTACTCTTCTTGCTTTGCTTTTTGCCTCTTTTTTCCTTTCTCTCAACCTGGTGGGTTTTCACATGGTGAGTAGCGTCAACCCCATACCCAAGCAATTCAGAAATACAACTAAAATTTTCCGGCATCAGAAATTTTCTTGACAGGGCCATTGCAAAGAACAGAAGTCAGGACTTTCGGCTTTTGTAATGGGGTCAGGTGGGGTGTTTAGAAAAGTTAAGGCTTGAAGGCAGATTTCAAGAGTGGTTTGAAGAATCTGAGATCGCATTGTTACGCCAACCCTATTTTAGGGTTAAATTAGAGTTTGCCCCAGAGTTTGTGCTCAATTGAGGCTTTTTCTCTTTCATTTTCTTTCTTCTTTTGATTTTTCGGCCTTCTGCCGTTCTTTTGAACTTTCACAAAATTTGCCCCAGTTTACTTTTGAACTGAGGTTCTCTTTTCTTCTTTTGTCTTTTGATTTTGTGGCTTTTCACTTCTTGAAATTTTCCTTTTCAATTCAAACTTGCCCCCAGTGTGGGGTTTGCGATTCTCAAGGGTTGCCAAACGAAACAATTTATTCTGATGGCTCAAAAGGGATAACTATGGATAGAATGTTTGATTGGAAAAGAAGAGGGCCTGACCTTTATTCCGTCCCTTACAATAACTCTGAAAGGAAACTTTCGTTAATGCGAAATTTTTTTTTGCATGTATCTGAATTAACTGATTGAGGAAGACCCTTGTTCATCCATATTTGTGAAACATAGGCGGTCCGTGCGGACAAATCTCTTCCTTTTCTTTCTTTTCTTTTCAAAATTGGACCCAAGTGGAATCAAATCTTTCAATTTGCGATTCCCTCCTTATTCTAGCATTTTTGCTTTGCCCTTTTTCTTCTTTTCTTTTTCAAAAGTCCCCAATCTCCTTCCCCAAAGTGGGGTGCGATCATATGCGCACTCGAAAAGAATCACCAATTTTTTAGCTCAAATGAGGATGCAAGGGATGATCAGTGTTTAGGTGGTAGAAATGATGGCCAAAGCATCATTCTTACACCTCATGACAACCAAAGTAACGAGATGGTCATTTAAAATCTATTCCCCTTTTTGATATTTGAAAATTTTCCAATGACGGGTAGTGATCATTAGGGATCTTATTTGAAACGAAATTATTCTTTCAAAGGCTCAAATGGGAGAGCAAATGATAA